CTCCCACAATTGGCTACACATGCCAGCACTCTTGTCTTTTCCTGCCTGTCTTGGCTGCCATAGTTAGTCTGGCAGGCGTGGAGCGAACCATATCTAAACTCTCATGCAGGTGCTGCAGTAAGGGGAGCTGCCTCCCAGTTGAGTTACATCATGGGTCAAAGTCATGCCCGGCTCCCTAGTGAGCCTGCTGTTGATATGCAAAATGACTCTCAATGGCCCATTTCCATTTCTCCCATCCCTCAGTCAGGCTTGTGGGATATCCTATATTCCTGGATACCCCAAGTTCTGGACCCTGTTACAAGAATGCATCCCAACAGGGATCCTGTGAGGATAGAGGGAACATTTCCCATCTTGTCCGTGGTATACCTAGGAAAAGAAAACAAAACAGTGGAACTCCCTGGCTCCCTAGAGGTACCCTCCCCCATTTGCCCAAGGCATTTTCCAGTGGGTTATACAGGGTGTCCCGTTATCCCACTATTCTAGGTTACCAGATGTCTCTGGGGATACAAAGGCTTGGGTGTGCAGGTCAGCAGAAGGCTAAGACTAAAACTGACCACAGACTAATCATATCCCCTTTGCTGACAGTAAAACTGAAGGCTCCGATTAAACTGGATGCTCTCAGCAAATCTCAGAGTTTTTACATATTTGGCCCCTGAGAGGAGATGGAGAGGGGACTGTACCAGTCATTTGGTACATTTCCCGGAAAGACTGGAGGCCAATGTAATATTGCTCAACCCAATGAAATAGATCCCAGTGGTGGCAAATATTTGCCACCTATGTGTCCTTGGTTCACTCTGGTCTTGGGGAGTTGACAGACTACAACACAGAAGGTACCTAAGGGGGAGAGGTGAACCTGTCCTGTAAAATATCAGAGGGGAAGCGACTGACCCAAATTTTCCTTGGTTCTTCACTGAGCACAGAAGGGACAAGAGAACTCTATCTTATCTCTTCTTTCCAGGTATTTCACCACCCTGACCTGGGCTGTAAGGTCCCCTGGGAGGACTCTCAGGAGGCTGAAACAAAAGGACTCCTGTTCATGTTTAATGTGGATTATGGAGGCCTGAGCTAGGACTTGAATAGAGTGACTAAGGATGGCTTGAAGGAGTTAGGTGAAGAGTCTCAAGATCTTAGACTCAATGTGATGAATTAGCGTGAGGCGCAGCCACCTTTGATAGCAGAGGACAAAGAGGTACCTGTTGATGGCCTCTGGCCAGTGGCACCACAGGCGATGGTGATATACACAGGGGGGAGGTGACACCTCCTCTACTCTGGGATAGCACCTACAAAAGGGCCCCTCCGTCTGCAGTCTCGGGCTAGCGCCAGAACGAAGGCAGCACTCACCATGTCTGCAGATCCAGCAGGAAGGAGAAAGATGTAAGGAGAGTAGCCAGAACTTTGAGAAGCAAGATTCAACAGGGTACTAGTGGGTTTGCAAGAAAGGCTGACCGTGCAAGGTCAGCCCTGGTGAATGGGTACCTTTGGGAGTTACTCCCACAGTGGCCCCTTTGGAGAGTTGAGAGTTGAAGAGACAGAGGGGGACAATGCAGGGAAGGAACAATGTTCCGTTTTCCTGTGTCTCAGGACACAGATATCGTCCTGTGCCAGGCAGGGAGCCTAGCACCTCTCCCCAGTCCACGACCAGGTAACCCTTACCCGGGTGTCTTTTCAGCAGCGGGCACCCTATAGGCTCTTAACTGCCCAATGCCCACACAATAGGAGCAAACTCTCTTCAAGGGGCCGGGGCACCCACAGGCACAGGCAGTGAAACAGAAAGGAGGCAGAGGGAACGTCTCCTCCAGGCAACAGGGCAGAAGGAGCTTGTCTTACCGCCCCCGCATCCCACAGACGATCCCCTGGGTGGCTCACCAAATGCTGCAGATGGAGACAGGGTCCAGGTTCGAAGTGGTCACAAATAAAAAAACTGAATGGACTATATAAAGAGTTAAGTGAAGCCAAGTGAGAGTTATTAAGAAAAGAACACTTCCCAAGATATGGGAATAGGCCACCTCTGACCAGAGTGGATCCCTTCTGCCAAAAGGATGCAGGCTTTATAGGGGGGTGTTTTTTTCTGAATTCCTTTGTTTCATCTGGTGGGCTTTTGATGGTGCACGCACAAGTAGTTATATGACTTTTAAGCTTCTGTGCATACAATTTCCCACAATGCTCCTTGATAGCCCACTGGGGTGGGGGGTTGTCAAACCACAATGCTAATTTATTAAAACAGCATGAAAATGAAACAGAGGTGAATCAGTGGTCAGCTATAGCTACACAGCCCACACAAGTCCCCTTGACAGGCGCTATAAGGCGTTTACACCGGAGGATGGTGCCTCGGGGTCTCCTCATCCCTATTTTGTCTCCTGCCTCAGGGAGACGGGCAAGAACGTGAAGAAATAAAATGTATGATTACCATGGCCTATGTGTTAAGCACACCATTTTACCCATCTGATCTCACTTAACCCTCACAGCGGTTCAATAAAGCAGAAATCACTCCCCCAGTTTATAGGCTCAGAAAGGTTAAGTAACTTTTCCAAGATCAAACAGCTGAGACTGGAACCCAGATCTAGTAGCCATGCCCAAATGTTAGTTAACACTAATTTTTCTTTCTTATACCACCTTTGACTAAATTTCTTAAATTACAGTTAAATATAATTTACTTCCTGTCTTAATGAACAGGGGTAGGGCAGAACCTGTTTGAATCTGAAGGGGCCAGCCCTCCCAGGCCTCAGGGCCCACAATACAGACCAACCTGGGGCAGAACACAAAGAAAAACAATCCCGAATGGACTTTGTTTTGTTTTTAAGGAACCCAAGTCATCATCTTACTTTCTTATGATTGAGCTCAAAATTCAGATATTATGGCAAACCCAAAGGACTAATTTCTTTGATCCAGTAAGTTTCTAAAAACCAGTGAGAGATTAATAATCTAATTTTTTAAAGATTTTATTTTTAGAGAGGGAGAGACAAAGAGGAGAGAAACATCAATATGTGGTTGCCTCTTACATGCCCCCTACTGGGGGCCTGGCCCACAACCTAGGCATGTGCCCTGACTGGGAATCAGACCAGCAACCCTTTGGTTTGCAGGTGGGCACTCAATCCATTGAGCCACACCAGCCAGGGCAATAATCTAAGTTTTAAGGAGCCACAGATTTACATATCCTTTTCTACGAGTTAAACTCGTAGAAAAGGAAATATAAACAGCCTGCCCTGGCTGGTGTGGCTCAGTCTATTGAGCGCTGGACATTAAGCCACAGGGTCACTGGTTCGATTTCCAGTCAGGGCACATGCCTGCATTGCAGGCCAGGTCCCCAGTAGGGGGAGTGGGAGAGGCAACCACACATTGATGTTTTTTAAAAAAAGAATATAAACGGCCTAACTAAAATTTTTTTATACGTTCCTTCTATTACCGAACAGGGGCCCTGGTCCTGAGCAAGTCTGCCCAGGGCCACCTGGTAGTGTGTGGGTTATTGACATTGTGTAGGAAAGATTTCAGGAGTCCAGGTGACAATGAGGGTATGTTTATTAAAGTTGGAAACAGTGAGACAAGAAAGAGCCTGGGGTAGAAGCAACAGGAGAGTTCCTATGCTGGGCTGCCTTACTCACTAAGAGGTCAGGTAAGAGGGGAAGAGAGATCCCGGGGGTTAGCCTGGGATGAGATACTTCTGCCCATCAAGTCTGGGCGAGGCGTGCCTGTGGGGGAAGAAGAGAGGAAGAAGGCCATGGCTCCAGCTGCTCCCCACAGGGAAAGCCACCCTGAGTCCTTTGTCTTGAGGCTTTTCTCTCTCTCACAGGCAGGAATTTTAGGGAAGGTCTAGGCAGAACATTCATCTGTTTTCCAGGTGTGCCCTTCCAGGTCAAGGTCTCTGATTCGTCAGTACCAGGGCAGGGGGGTCATTAGTCACTGCAGCTGGTCCTGGTGTTGCCCAGCTAGTTTTGCTTGTTTGGGTCTGAAGCTGAAATACAACCGAGGCCTGGATGTTATCTCCAAGGAGGTGACCTTGTGAATCTGGCTATAAAATGCTTGGCCATTTTGTTCAGCTGTCTGTTCCCCTATTCCACTTGTCCTGGCTTCTCACTACCCTGCCTTCATTCATTTATTCATTTGAGAAATGTAAATTAAAGCTAGAGAGACACTATTTTCCACTTGTCAGACTGGCTAAAACCAGAAAGCTCCATAAAACATAACAGAACTCTCACACACCAGTGGCTGGGACAACCGCACCAACCTCCGCACCAACCTCCGCTCAGGAGAGCAATTCCCAAGATCCGCCATTACCGCACACACTCTGACTAGGACTCGCACTTCAGGGAAGAGCAACCCACACAGCCATTCACTGCAGCAGTGGTTGCAGCTGCAAAGGATTGGAAAACAACAAAATATCCCTTCATCAAAAGGGGCCTGGTTAAATAGATTATGGTATATCCACACATCCATGTAACCCTAAATAACAGGGAAGCTCTTTCAGTGGCTAAGGAACAGTTCAAAATACTCTTAAGGAAAAAAACAAGAACACACAAGAAACCAATGATTCAGTCAGCCTCTGGGGAAGGGAGGTGGGGCAGCTGGGATGGGAGACTTCACTGTATACACCAGTGCCTTTGGAATTTTGAACCATGTGAAACGTCAGTTAGCCAGAAAAACAAAATTAAAAGACTTACGCGTATTGAACCCTTCCTTGTTACTAAAGTTTCGGGCTCAGCTCCAGCTGAGCCCAAAACTGCTGCAGTGAATGGCTGTGTGGGTTGCTCTTCACTGGCACCTCAGCTTCAGCTCAGAGTTCAAATGCAGGGACTGTGAGCCAATGACCACGTCTGGTGGGGCCTCTGGGCCTCTGCCCCTCTGCCGGTCCAGGCAGCAGGGAACCCTAGGTCAACCAGTCTGCACTTCCTCCCTCTGTCCACAGGTGGTGCTATGAGGCCTGCTGCTCTGGACAGAGATGGTGGTGGCCCCGGGGAGCACTCAGGCTGCTGACCAACAGGCAAAGATACGCAGGGACAAATGAGTAACATAAAATAGAAACTAATTTTATTTCTCTGAAAGAAGCAAATATCCATTGCTGGGGCAGCAACTTTGGCGACAGAGGCTGGTGGGAAAACAAGGAACAGCACAGGGAAGAGCTGGGTCAGAGGAAGCACTAGGATCTCTCCGGGGCAGCCACCCCCTTGGTCTCCTTCCAACCCTGGGGCCTTGGGCCCTGGTCCCAGCCAGAGAACTATCCGGCACCAACGCTCTGCTTCCTTAGCCACCTCAGGCTACTTCCAGGCACAAGACCTAAAGACCAGCCATGTCGCAAACCACTGTCCATGGTGAGGCCACAAGTCACATTCTGTTGGACACCCAAATGCCTGCCAGGGGCTCCCTGGAGAAGGGCCAGCCCTGCACTGGTCCACCTTGTGGTGTGGCCAACACGTCCTCCTGGCCCAGGGTCAAACCTGGCTTTCCTGTCAGAAGGACTTGGGGGCACACTCCAGCGACAGGCCCTACCACAGCGGATGAAGCCACAGGCAGGTCAGCCACAGGGCCTGCTGAGGCCACCCCAGGCCTGCTGTCTCGGGGCAACTTCCTGTACCCAGGCTTGGGGCACCGTGAGTCGAACTGAAGTTGCAGGGGCAGTGCTGGGTGAGGAAGGGACAGGCAAGGCAGGGCTCCCAGCCTCCTGCTGCCTTGGCCTCGCTCTGCCAGTAGGAACAGCGGGTGCAGCAGGTCCTCCAGGCCTGGGATGGGCATCTTCCCATCCTGTCAGCTGGACAGGCTCAAGTGGTTCCTCCAGGGCAAACCTCTGGCTCTCCAGACATCTCAGCGCCTAAAGGGGAAACAACCAGAAAATCTTTCCATCAACGGGCTGATGCAAGAGTATGGATTGACCAGTGCGGGAGGGCCCCTCTGTGACAGGCAAGTTGGTTAAAAACTGGTAGTTCTAGGCAATGATTTTGGAACTTACATCCTGGGATGCCTTTTTTTCTTTAAAGAACTAAAAATAAGAGAGCAGCAGGACTGTGTATTACAGTATCCAAGGGTGACAGGCAGCAAAGCCTGTTTATTTGGATGCAAATTAGTAAGAACTTCCTAATGGTGTGTGCCAGACACTTGCTGTTCAGTGTGACAGATGCAGCCCTCATTAATTCTGATCACGTCTGTGAGGCAGGCACTGTCACTCACACACGTTTTACAGATGAGGCCCTGACAGATCGGGACGCGTGTGGGAGCTCACACTGTGCCTGAGCCGCCGCAGCCCAGCGGCTCTGAACCCCGGCACCCCACCAGCGCCTCTCCCAGGGTGGAGCTAGAACCCACCCATCTCACCACTTTGTCACTTGATAAAACTTTCATAAATACATTTATACTACATATCACTGTATCTTACTTATATAACTTACTGTGTTATACATACACATCTACTTCCATTATTTATAGGAAAGTAATGGAGTTTTTTGGTTAGACATTCCTTTAAAAAGACATTAAAACTATTAAATGTTACTTTAAACTGAACTATGAAATGCAGAAGTGAGAAATATTTATTTAGGGCTGTGTATTTTTACTGATTTTAGAGAGAGAAAGGAAAACGGGGGGAAGGGGTGGGGGGAGAAAGAGGGAGAGGGGGAGAGAGAGCTGCTGTTCCACTGATCAACGCCTTCACTGGCTGATTCTTGCACGTGCCCTGATCAGGGATCAAATCCACAACCTTGGCGTGACAGGAGCATGCTCTCACTAAGCTGCCCCTCCAGGGCAGAAATATTTATTTAAATCACTAGGTCCTGAACTGCTTCTCCCTGGAAGTTGCTCAGGGTGCTGTGGGGGGGTGGGGGGGTGGGGGGGGTGTGTGTGTGTGTGTGTGTATGGGGGGGGGGTTGGGAAACAAGGCCCCTGTAACCACAGAGGCTCCACTGGCCTCTTTGACTCATTAGTTCCATTTGAACCATGTGACTAAATAAAAGTCTACATGAACAGGCTTAGGAGAAACTATTTTCACCCCCCAGTCGTCCCGGGACTGGGGCCCAACTTCCCTCCTCCCACCTGGGGAGCCCTGTGTCTCTTGGTTGTGTGTAACCTTGGGAGGTGCCGAGCTTCTCCCTACAATGGTGTGCTCCAGGACACCTGAGGGCGCAGGGAGCGGACAGGGTGTGGGGCTCACTCACTTGTGGTGGACGGGGCCACAGGAGCCCAGCAAGTGGCAGCCGGCTTGCTCCAGGTTCCAGTCGAACATCTCCAGCACTTTGTGGCACTCGCCTCTCGGCCGCAGGCCCAACCCAAAGAGCTGCTCCACCTGAGGAGCAGAGGGTGGTGCCATGGGACGCATGGCACCACAGGGCACCAGCCAAGGGTGGGGACAGAGAACCAGAGAGGGGGAAGGAGTGGGAGGGAGCAGCAGAACCAGTCTTCAGGGGCCCTGCAAACCAGAGTGGGCAGGAGGTGGCGGTACCTTCAGATACTGGGCAGCCCTCTGCACGTTCCAGCTGTGGCTCTGCAAGGCTGCCTGGCACTCCTCTGTGGTCACCCCATGCACCATGGCCTGCAGCTGAGCACACCCGCCCACCTGGTCAGCACCACTTGGGCCCACTCCTCTGCGGCCCTCAGGCTCCTGCCCCTCCTCACCCGACAGCAAGGCCTGGTGCTTACCATCTGGATCTTATCTGTTGGCCGTCCAGCCTCTGGCCTGACCCCAGGGCAGCCCCTCTGTGACAGCCGAGCAGCGGCCCTCAAGGATGGTGGCCGGACCCCTAGGTTGCTGTTGTTGGTGGAGAAGTTAGCCTTGGGGTCTGGGGCAGCCTGGGGCATGGGTCGAACAGTGGCAGTGGGGGCGGCAGGGGCTGGGATGCTGGGTGGGGGCAGCAGGGGCACAGGCAGGGGGGCTGGCTCTTCAAGGTTCTGTGCCTCCCGCAGGAAGCGCTGGTAGCGGTCCAGGTAGGGTGGGCGCTCAGGCAGCAGGTAGTAGTGGGTGCTGCTGACCTTCTTGCCATCTCGGACGATGGGCAGGATGCAGGGACCAGCCCGTGGGCCAGGTGCCTGGATCACCTGTGGTGTGGCATACTTGGGGTCTGAGGCAAAGCTCTGGGTGGTGGGCATGGTCTTCCCAGGTGAACTTGAAAGCCGAGGTAGCAGCGGGGAGCTGCCACGTGGCACCAGGGGGCTGGGGGTCCTTGACCCTGGAGGGGACAGGGGTTCCCGGGGAGGCACCCGGGGAGGGGAGGCAGGTCTAGGCCATCGCCCCATCTCTTCCTCGCCTGAGAGGACTGGAGACAGCTCACCTCGTGGGCGTGTGGGCCTTGGGGGGATGGGCACCCTAGGGGGCACCTGGGGCTTGTCATCTCCCACTGGGCTGGGTGAGGGTGCCAGTGAGCCAGCTGGGACCTGCAGCTGCCGCATGCATTCTTGCTGCAGCGCCTGGAAGATCTCTGCAGTCTGGGCTGAGCTGGGGGGCTTGCTCCCCTCCTGGGGCAGGAGGAACAAGTTGTCCTCCAGGGGAGGGAGGAGCCGTGCCTGCTCGGGCACGAAGGCGTAATTGGTCTCACCCTGGCTGGGCCCAGGAGGGACCCCTGGGCCCACTAGGGAGCTGTTGATGGAGCAGACCTCAAAGTCATCCTCATCCTGGGCCACATCGTCGTAGGCAGGAGGTGGTGGCAGTGGGCACGCATCCCAGTCCACCACAGGTGTGGGGTGCAGGGGTCGGGGCAGTGCCCTTGTGGGGCTCTGTGGTGGGGTCTTGTCCAACAAGGAGCAGGCATCCATGGCCAACTGCGCCAGCGAGGGTGCGCAGGGCCGTGGGGAGGGGACCACGGGCTCCTCACTGAAGTCGATGAGTGTGACCTCACTGCCACTGCCACCGCGGCCCGCCTTGGTGCAGGACACCCGGGCCGAGGGCTTTGCCAGCCACAACCCACGGGGCAGGCTCGGCTTCCTCAGGCCCAGCTTCTTGAAGTCACTGGATAGGGGGTCTTGGTCCTCGCTCACAGGGTCATAGGTCGGTTCTGCAGTGGAGGGAAACCCGCACAGAGAGGCAGGGTCAGGTAGGAGGACAGAAAGGCGGGGTTGGGAAGAAAGCCAACTGTCTCCCACCAACTCCCCAGGGGATCCCTCAAACACTAAATTCTCAGTGCACAGCAACCCCATGGAAAGAGGAAGGCGGAGCCTTCTCTGGATGCTGTCAGCCTTCTGCATGGGAGGGTGAACCCCAGCCTCCATCTCAGCTCCAGCAAATGACACCCACACCCTCCTGCCTCTGATGCCCCTCCATCAGCACAAGACCCCAAACGCCCCTGCCCCTAGTTAGCGACCCCATTACAGCACACTACCAGTACAGGCAGGGGCAATGGGCAATCCCCACCATCAAGAGCAACAGGAGCCCCTGACCCACCGTCACAAAGGCCCAGCCTCTGCAGGTCCCAGAGGGTGAGGCAGGCCCAGCAATGGTGGAGGGAGGCAGAAGCCCAGGGGTTTTTTTTTTTTTTGGGGGGGGGCTTGAATGGAGAGGAGGGTATGCTAGGCCAGGCCAGCAGTGAAAGCTCACTGCCTCTCCCACCCAAGCAACCACCAGGGCTCTGTACCTGCCAGAGGAGAAATGAGAGGACAGAGGGAGAGGGGGGCGGGGCCAAGGCAGGGAGAGCAGCCCCACTTACTCTGAGTGAAGATGGCAGGTTGAGGTGGGCGAGGTGGAGGCTCCCCTGCAGAAGGGCCATGCAGAGAGCAGAGGGGAGCAGAGCAAAACAGAGAGAGGACAGGGGCGGCAGACAGAGCGAGACAGAGGGCAGAGCGTGGAGAGGGGGAGAGAGAGAGAGAGAATGCACAGTGAGTAAGGGCAAGTGAACGCACAAACCCAAGAGCAATGGGAAGCAATGGGCGGGAGGATGGGGGAAACAGTGTTCCGGAATGACAGGCCCAGGATCCAGGGGGTGGCTGAGGCTCCTGGCCAAGATGAAGCCCGTGGGGTGGTTTTGGCTTGGGACAGGAGAGCAGGATTAGAGTGGGTGAGGAAGGCCAGGTTCCGAGCACGGCGGGAAGGAGGAGGGTGGAGAGAGCTCGGGCAGGCCAATGTAGGACTGACCGAAGATACCCACCTCGGCGGATACAGCTGCCTCTCATCTTCCACCCCACACCCAGCAGGAGCCTGACCCAACTGTCCCCCTGCTGTCCTGACCCAGCCATCACAGAGCCAGAACAGCTGGCTCAGGGCTGACCCGAGAAGACAGTACCCCTGGGCAGCCAATGAATAAGAGGTTCCCAGGGAGTGACGGGGGGGCTTACTTTTCACCCTTCCCAGATGCTGGGTGGGCCGGGAGGTGCTCAGTTCCACGCTCAGCAGGTCAGGAGGGTCCATGGGATTTCCCAGATACAGTCTGTGGGGAGAGAACCAGTGTGCAGTGGTGGCAATGAGGAAACCTCTGGAGGAGATGCTGGGCCTGTCCCCTGGGGTCAGGCATCTGGCGGGGTTGCCTCGCCTCAGCCCCTTGCAGACATGGCTCTGAAGCACGAGACTTCTGACTCCCAAGCTGCAGAGCCAAGCTGTAACCAGGGGAGGGCACTGTGGAGAGAGGGCAGAGTAAGGACTCCTGGCTACGAGTCAAACGTCTAGGACTGTAGGGGCTCCAAGAACACCCTACAAGGGCAGAGCTGGCCCTCTGCAACCCCCACGGTGCCCCAACCCACGGCCAGTAGCCACCTGCTGGCACACTCTTGCCTCTCCTGCCAGGCCCAGAGGCATCCGGCTACGCTCCCCGATCAGGGTGGGCAGAAGACATCCTTCTGTCCTACCGCCTGGGGTAGGGCCACCTGCCCTGCTCCCAGTTCACCCTCAACCCCTGTGCTGACTATCAAGATCTGGGACTTAGTCACTGGGGCTGACTAAAGTCTGGAGGAATGGGGCGGGGCTGTCCACTGCCACCGGCAGCAGGGCAGAGGCTGCCCGGCTTCCCTCGGGAGGGTGTCTGTGCTCCACCGCCTCGACTCTCTAGGGCCCTCACCTGGCCCTTGTGTGCAAGAGCCACACACAGGCTGCCCTCCCAGAGCCTACTGGTGCGTGGGAGCAGGGAGGTGAAGGACCTGCTTCACCGTGTCCCTCAGGGCAGAAACATGTGTCAGAAGTCAGAGGAGCAAGGCTGCAGAGGGCAGGGGCCTGGAAGCCCCTAGGGCCAGCAGCGGCAGGAAGCCTGGCCCGAGGAGCTTCCAGATAGAACTCTGGGGCGGTGCCCCCAGACAGTGACTGAGTCTTCTCTGTGTCCTCCCCAGGTGCCCCCCAGTGACCTCATCCTTTCACCTAAAGGAGACTGGAACCACCCCCCACCCCAGCTATCCCCAGTGCAAAGTGCTGAGCTGCTGCCTAACATTAGCTCTGAAGTTTTCTTTCTCCACAGAGACTGCTCTCGAGGTCTTGGACCCCTGGGCCTGACCCAGTGAGTTCCCACGTCCCGAACTCCCCACTAGCAGCAGCAGAAGGGAAACTGACACTCAAATGTTGGTGGCCGCGAGGAAAGCTTTCCTACTGATCTGCTTCCGAAGGCCCCTGCTCAAGGACAGTGTGTGCGGGGTTAACACTGTAGCCCATGTGGGTCTTTCCACCAGAGAGGAGTGTGGGTCCCTCCTTTGAAGCTCCTGGACCGGTTCTGCCTACAGGGAAAACTGCTGGGCAATGAACGACCCTCCGCCCCGTGGTTGTAACAGGGGCCTTGGAAGCCTGAAAGAACCCGCGTGCCCAGGGAGGGGCCGCTGGCTGGGAGCCCCAGGTGGGGCTGTGCCCGGTACTCACTCGTCAATCTTGTCGGGGAAGCCCCAGCAGTGGCGGGGGTCACTGTCGCCGTGCCCCGTGTGAATGAAGCTATTCTGCAGAGGCTGGCTGATGTCCTGAGCCGACAGGCCAGCCACAGAGGTCACCACATTTCGAGGAAAGGGCCCCACACACAGCGTCCGTGTGTTCTGCCCACGCCACCAGTAATTTTCAGCCCTGCCCAACAGAGATGACATGGTAAACGCCAGGGTGTGGTAGGAAGGCCCCAAGGAGGAGCACTCTTTCCATACCAAGATCTTTGGCTATGATGTCTACCTACCTTAGGAGAAAGAAACAGGAGGGGTAAGGCCCAGGATGAGGCTACTCTGCCATCAGCTTGCCTCCTCCCAGCAGCCCCCGTGATTGCTCCCCCAGTACGGAGCCTGGCTCTTTGCATACCGCCTTACTCTAAGCTACCTAGGTAGGTTGGACAGCTTTTCCTAAAGTTTACAAAAACAAAACAGGTTCAAACAAGTGACGTGACTTGCCTACAGTTACCAGAAAGGTCACAGAAGACCCAGGATTCAAATCTGGTTGTCGGTCTATAAAGCCAGTGCCCTTCTCACGGTATCACCTCGTCTCCCTCCTCCCCTGGCGAAGCCTGGGCCCAGTCCTTTTCTGGACACCTGATCACACTCTTCAGCCCAGTTCCAAGGGCTCTGAGCTGCAAGGGCCCCAGGGAGCACCGTGGCCTTAGCACTGGGTTTGAGGCCAAGCCTTCCAACCACATGCGGCTCTTCACACATTTACGAAGCACTTGGGAGAACCCGCGACTTCCTGTCACTGGTTTGTGTATCTCCATCCAGTAGCACCTGGCAGGGCCGTGGGACCTTCACCCTGGCACCATCCCCTCCTTGAGAGGAGCCTGCCCCCCGCCTCCAACAAGGCACCAGGAGGGCACACAGCCTCCCAGTGTGGCTGGGCCAGCGGCGCCTTGATTGGACCTTAGACACAACACCTGATAGGCAGCCTAAGCCCCCTGGGGTGGGGGTAGGGGAAGGGGCAGGAGGGCAAAAAAACAGAGTGTCCTCCTGGACTCTGCAAATGCCAATAGGCCAACAGGCCATGAGGCTCCTGCATCGGCGGCTGGGACCCCTCACTCTGACGTCACAGGCAGAATCTAAGCTAAGGCAGAGGTGGTGACAGGCACATGCTGCTGTGGTGGACACATGTGACACCACGCTGCATGCTCTCACTGTCAGTCCCCAACCTGCATGTTTCCTGTCCCCAACCAGGAGTGTAAAGAAAACTGTAGCTGGACTGGAGGCTGAGCACCTGGACTCTGATGTGAGGTGATGTGACCCACTGGGGCAGCGTGAGCCCCAAACAGCCTCTTCTAGAGACCAAAAGTCAAACCTCACGAGCAAAGCAGCCCTTGGGAATCCAAGAGGTGAGCTGAGGGAAGGAGAGGAACCCAGCCTTCTTATAAACGAGGCCACTGACCGGCCCACCACAGACAGCAACCCTGAGATTACTACCCTCTGGGTAGGAAGGGCAGGAAAGGAAGGAAGAAGCGAGGACAACAGCCAGGAAAGGAAAAAGCCCATCCGAAAATAGCAGGGCCATTCCAAGGAGAAAAGTGCTCCCCACCCCACCCAGGGCTGGCTGAGGTTGAGGACCGCTGGGAGGAGGTTGGGGAGGCGCGCCCGGCACTGGGGACCCTGCTGCTGCTCTCCCCCAACACTCGCCGGCTCCCTGGGTTCTTTGTGCCCCGCCACAGAACTGTCTCAGACAGCAGCCCCAGGGCTGAATGCCGGACTCTGCTCCCTACACCTCTTCGGAGGTGCTCATTAACTTGGATGAGAAACAGCTGAGGTGGAGACGCAGTGCAGAGTAGAATGGACTCACGTCCAAGGCCATAACCATGCCCTCCTTGGGTGGACCCTGAGCAAAGCCAGACTGGCAGGAGGTCACGCTCCCCGCTCCTTTCCCTTTGCCAACACAGCCAAGCTGCCTCCACAGGAGCCTGATTTGGACTCACTTCTGAGAGCAAGCAAGCCCACCTCCCTTCGTTGCAGGTACACTGGGGTCCTGACACCACTTGTCAAAAACACCTGACTCCTGGGAGGGGCAGTCAGAGTGCAGAATGTGTGTGAGAGAAAGAAGCCCCTTGGGAATCGCACCCCAAGCACATGGGCCCGACGAGGCTCAAATATGATCCTGCGAGAGCCACCGAGTTGGCCGGCACTGCATCACACTGCCCGCCCGTGTCCCTCTGAGGCAGGGGGGCTGAGCAGGGCGAGGTGCCAGTAGCCCACAGAGGACCAAGCCCAGTCCTTCCCAATAGCATGCGCTGGCCACACCCTCCCTTCCCCCGTCCACCACCAAGCCAGAGTCTCCACAGCAACACCACCGGGGCCGGGCCCACCAGGCCACCCAGCAGTCACGACAGCAAAGACAGACACAGGCATGGGGGCAGTTCCTAGGAGAGGGAGAAGAGGGCCCAGTACCCCCAGCAAGAATTTCCCTGCTTCCTGTCAGCATCCTGGGACGTGCAAAATGTGAAGCAGCAACTGGGAAACCACCGTCTGGGCTGAGAACTGCTAAGGTGGCCGCAGCTCAACTGGGAACCAGCCTCTGAAATCTCAGCCTCTTGTGCCCGTTCTGGCCCACGGTGGTCCAGAAGTGGCTGACGAATGTGCAAACATTCTGCTCAAAACACCACCCCGCCCACGGCTTTCTGGGTGTCCCAGGAGCCCCTGGCCTTGAGGAACAACAAAGACCCCTGCTTCCCCTGCTCCGCCCACAAGAATAATCAGTGGCTCCGGGGACCAGGGTCAGGCCAAGGACCTGCACAAGGATTCCAATACCTCTGCCCCGCCTTCCCAATTCTGAAGACACAGGATATAAAAGTGCTGCCAGCCATCTCAGCCTCCAAATAAGACCCCCTGGAAAAGAACAGTCATCATCTGTTCAAGTCTAGACCAAGCCTCACAAGTGTGGCTGACAGAACATCAACGTGCCTGTCTGCCTGCTGCCCGGGGCCGGGAGAAGCACTGAACCTGCAGAATCAGCCAGAGCTGGAGCAAGGGGGTTCCCAGACTCTGGATTAGGAAACAGACACTGGAGAAAGCTTCCGTCAGAAATAATCCAAGACTCACAGAAAAGGGCAGATATGGAGAGAGCTGAGCCTGGCTATGAGGAGATGGAGGAAGAGCCAGCAACCACACATACAGTCGCAGACCCAAAGGCGCGCGCGCGCACACACACACACACACACAGTCCATCCACCCAGATACACAGGAACAGGGCCAGTCAAACACAGAGACATTCAGGCACCGAGAAAACGAGGGGGCAGAGTGAAAGCTCTGGTACTACTGACACACAGGACCGCCCCCACAGCCCACCAGCTGTCATGGCCTCCTGTCTCTCACCTCCCACCTCCTGAGAAGCTCCAGGGACTGTGGTCCCAGTGGGCTTCGGCCCTGGAGGAGGAGCCCAGCGAGCCCACACTGGCAGACAGCAGGGAGCCTGTGACAGAAGGGCGGGGCAGGGCACGCCCGCAGCCACCTCCTGGGAGGAGCGACCCCAGGCGCCTCCCTTACCCCTCCCCCCGCCTTGTTCCAGGTGATCCAGGGCGCCAGCTGGGGACTCACGCCTTAGAAACACAAGGAGCTCCTGAGTCATCCCCTGGGGAACACTGGGCCCTGGCACACAGAACCCCCGAGAGCAAGGGACAGGGGACGGAGGGAAGGCCTAGGGTCCTGTGGGAACAGCTGCAGGCCCAGACTTCTGGACTGTAGTCCTGCCACGTACCTCTGGAGGGGCCCTCATCCTCATCTTCCTGTTTCCAGGATGTTCTCCAAAGTGCCAGGCCTGTAGTACTTTCCCTGGCCCCTGAGCTCCAAATCACAGACTATATTCCTTCCTGTCCCACAGGCCTCTGTCCTAGGAGATTTCTGCTTTCATCCACTGCCACTTGACTTGTTGGTAAGCGATTCTTATTCCCACACATTGTGCCCCAAAGCAAGGGGAGCCCTGGTCTAGGGAAGAGGTGCTGGGGCCACCGCAGGTGCAGGCCGTGTTCCTCCACTGCCAGCACGGGGTCCAGCACCAACCTCATCACTGACTCCAACCCAGAGGCTGTCTGAGTCACCAAGCCCCCAGTCTGTGTAAGGTTTAACCAAAGGCCCAGACCCCCACACCTGAGGTCCGGGGAGAAAGGGCTTTGCTGAGAAATAGCCCCTGCCCCCCCACCCCGCATGGCTCTGAATCAGAGCAGTTTGGACCACAGGGAATTTCCTCTGCCTCCCTCCCTGCCTGGCTGTCCATGCTCACCACTGACCCAACGGCACCTCAAGCTTGCCCTGCCCCAGCCAGTTGCTCAGACACCCTGAGGTTCAGATAACAGAGGGTGGGGCGAACACTGGGTGGGGCGAACACTGGGTGGGGCTCCAAGGCAAGAGCCATTGGGGCTGGAAGTAGGAGACAGGATGCAGGAGACGCTGCCCATTGGCAGACACACGTGCCAGGTGTGAAGCGGAAAAAAAGACCAGGAGGAGAAGGAAGCCTGAGGGCAGAGGCCAGAGGCCAGGGTGTGAGGCCCAGCTGAAGACGGAGGGGAGCCCTAGGAGGAAGCAGTGAGGGGCTCAGAGGAAGGGCGGAGGCTGCTGGGAAGAAGGGCGGCTGCTGTGGGGGCACTAAATCGCACCCAGATATGCAGTTACGGAGCCCATATCCTGGGAGGAGGTGGGAAGAGAAGGGCAGAGGGAGGACCAGAGGAGGAGGTTTAAGAGTTCCAGAGTCTCTATCTGTGGCCCCACAGCCTGGCTGCCTCACCACAAAGGCCGTTCAGCCCTGACCCACACAACCGAGGCTGCAGCCCAGGGTGAAAAGGGTGATGGAGGCGGCACTAGGCAGGGAGAGTCCCTCTAAGCGACAGCCCTACATACTTGACCCCAGTCAGATGCAGACCCAGGCCTGTCCTCCCATCGTTGCCCAGCTCAGGCCCACGACAGCCTGTGCACTGCTACACGGACCATGGAGGCAGCCCCTCCACCCCGTACCCTTCAAGCCTGTGTAGGTGCAGCCCCCTGGCTCCCTACCTCCCTTCGATGACAGTGATGACATCGTTCATCTGGATGTGCAGTTTGTCTGGTTCCTCAAAGTCCTGAAGGGCCCGCATGTCCGTGGGCTGGGCCTGAGGGTAGAGACAGGTCACTTCCCACTCTGGGACTGACCCTTGCTTGGACACCCAAGCCCCCACAGGCAGACCTGCCCTTACTTCCAGCAGGAAGTCCCGCAGGGCCACAAAGGTGGGTCTGTCCTCTGGTTTGTGAGCCCAGCACTGTACCATGACATTATAGATGTCTTGGGGGCAGTCCTCAGGCCGGGGAAGACGCTCCCCTTCCTTGTCAATCTTATGCAGGATCTGGAGGGGGAGCACAGTTTGAAGACAAGCAGAGCCCCCAGGTCTTCACTTCCCACCCTCTCTCCAGCCCAGGGAACAACCGGAGCTTTGGGCTGCCACGTCTACACCCAAAAAAAGAGGCCTTCTGAGGGCAGGGCCTATCCCCAGGCCTCGGACTCCACCTGCGGGTCCAGGCCTCCTGACGGTGGGCTGTGGCAAGGGCTAAGAATGGGGGCAAGCCCACCCATCCCTCTCCTGACCCCTAGAGGCCCTTCTCCCTTCTCTTCGCTTAGCGCTAGGAGAGGTGACGCAGAGACAGAGCCTGGGGGACAAGACTAGCAAACAAAAGCCAGTTCTGACAGCACCAGGTTGGGGGCCAGGAACCAAAGCAACCCCCACCCACCTGTGTACGGAGTGCAACTCCAGCCCCTCACCTGACTGCCATTAAGGCCAATCCAGGGCTCCTGGCCGTAGGTGAACATCTCCCACAGTGTCACCCCAAACATCCAGGTGTCACTGGCATGGGAGAAGGTGCGTGTCTTCAGGCTCTCAGGAGCACACCTGGCAGAGGCAGGGGTCAAACAGAAGGCCTCTCAAAGCACCCGACCCACATCGGCCCCAAAGGACACAAAATGCTCATTCAACAAGCACACTGTTGCCCCACGTGCCAGGCTCAGCAGCAGGTACTAGGGACATGGTAGGAAGGGCGGGTGTCTCGACAAAGGGGGTGCACAGGCTTGGAGAAAACCGTCAGCACTCAGGTCTGTGACCCACGTGCGGCCTGGCCAGGGGAGCAGGGGAAGGAAGGAGGCCGGAGGCCCTGTGAGGGGAGAGGGACCGAGCTCCGGCTGTTCTGACTGAGGTGGGAGGATGACAACTCCCAGATTTCGGGACGGATCCTAGCACTTGGGTCATTTCAGCAGGAAGGTGTGGGTGGGAAATTTGGATAGGGCCTGGGAAAGAACCAAAATGGGAGGAAACAGTCACACTGGCTTTATCCAAATATCTGCATACTCCTCCTTGGGTGAGGAGAACAAATGTGGCCACAGCGAGGCTGCGAAGTAGTGTAGTGTCTGGGGGCCGGGCAGAGACCGAGGGGCAGCCCCTGCGTGAGGAGCCAAAGGCGCGCTCACGAGAAGGGAGAGCCAGCCCTGCCACTCAAAGGCAGGCGGAGTCCAAGAAGGCCACTCAAGATCTCTAAGTCTCACATTACTCATCTGTGAAATGGAAATAACAACAAAAATTTGCTCACTTCAGAGTTGTCTTCAGGGGGCTGCATAAAAACAACTGTCCTTATAATTTACCATCTGAACCAGGACCCTTGAGTATGAAAGGAGGTGCTATTAATTACTCCAGGATGACAGGCATAATCCGGGGTGTCTGGTCCCCTAGGTATATAAAGTCTCTCACTTGGAAGGGTGACCACACATCCTGGATCAGAAGGGTTTTCTGGCAAGCTAAACTGGACTGACTCCTTACTTCGTGACCACACTTCTCTGAGCGCCTTCGACAGCAGAGGACCGCTTCGTGTGCAGGTGAACACTGCTGCTCACAGCTGACAAAGCCCAGCCTGGCCTGGCCCTGCCTGCCACCAGCTCCACCGGAAACATGCTCACCACCAGTCCCTGCCTGGCTAACTTCTCCAGATATTTCAAGAGCTTAACACTGAGCTGTCCAGGAAGACTTCCCGAGTCCCCCATGTGCACTGACCCCCATGAACTCTAGTGCCTGGCATGTGAGAATTCCTGGATGACTGAGTGCATAAATGGGAACACAAGAAGAGCACCTCAGGCCTGGAAGAGACAAGGGCTACTGTGGGTATAAAGGCCTCAGATGCTCTGAAGCTAGGCGTACAGGGGAACCAGGGTGGGACAGGGTGGGGGTCCAGGCCCTGGGAGCTGGCAGCACCTGCCCCTCACCAGGCAAAGGGCACCTTGCGATGCTCCTGCATAACGTAGTGGTCGTCGTTCTGGGGCAGTGCTCGCATTAGCCCGAAGTCCCCAATCTTGACCAGGTCGCGGGTGGCCAACAGCAAATTGCGTGCAGCCAGGTCACGATGAATAAAGCGCTTGGACTCCAGGTAGCCCATGCCCTCAGCCACCTGCACGGCATAGCGGCTCAGAGTACCCAGAAGGAAGTGGCCCTGGTGCTTGCGAAGCCGGTCCAACAACGATCCCAGTGGCGCCAGCTCCGTCACCTGAGGCCAGGGAGATGGGAGGAATTAGCATGGCTGAGCCCTGCCCCTCCTTCAGCACCCCATGCTGGGCTCCCAGGCCTCTCCTCAAGGCCTGCCAGGTCAAGCTTTCTGCTGCATCCTGGCCTTTCCTCTGGGGTCCTCCAGGAGTCCCACAGCTTCCCAAGCCCCTCCCTCTAAGCAATGTGAAAAACCGAGGCCCAGAGAAGAAACCCAAAGAGGCTTATGTCAGAAATTCCAAACATTAAACTCTAGGAGCAGCTTCCCCCGTAGGTGTAACTCTACCAGTAATACAATCAAAACACAGAGATGGACATGGGCTCTAAGGAACCCGGTCAGTACCGGGCTAGGCCCCTGGGAGCTTCTTTGTCACATCAGGTGGGGGACCAAAGCAGGATCTGGGGGACCTCTGACCTTCGTCAGGATGAAGAGAGTCACCACAGCACAGGCAGGAGAGGAGGTGGACCTCGGTCCCAGAGACCACAGGCCCCTCCCACATGCAGTGCTCACCATCTTCATGGGTGGCGTGAGCACCACACCATACAGGCGAATGAGGTTCCGGTGGTCAAGCGAGTGCATGGCGTTGACCTCCCGGATGAAGTCGTCCATGGCCTCTGGCTGGCTCAGCACATCTGGCTTCAGGCACTTCACAGCCACATTCACCTGCCCAGAATGGAGACTGTGGGGAGTCAGGACAGGCCGCAGCCCCAACACTCTCAGCCAACCTGCTCCTCCCTCCGACTCAGCTCAAACATCACAGCTTCAGATCTGCTTATCTGGGTGGGTAAGCGCGTCACAGGTTCCTTGGCCTGGCTGGGGAAGGGCAGCTTCTGATGCCCAGAGGCTACCAGTTGGGCCCCTCCCTGGGGGAGTGCCCAGGTTAAATAAATGACCAGTGGGTAAGAGATGACTGACCAGTATGATGATAAAGTATTAAAATGTTATCAAATAAAATATTAAAAATAGTTTTGGTGTAGAAAAAAATGCTTTAAATATGCCAAAACACCAATCTGTGGCAAGAGAAGTACAAAGAGTGGCTTTCCTGGAGGAAGAGGTACTCAGTGAAGAAGCAGATGCTGGGAAGGTTCTGTGTCAGGGCCTGGGTGTGGGGACCCAGGCCTCCGCATCCGTACAAAGTCACTCAGCTGTACACTCAAGAACTGCAAGTTTTATTGTCGACATGCTACTGATCCCTCTGGGGAAATTTTAAAGACAATATCAAGAGAAAGGGCAAGATTTTAAAAGTTGTATCTAAAGTTTGTATCTTAACTAAATCCAACAAAGTACCTACCCAGAGGAGAAAAAGGCAGAAATGCTGACTCTGCTTCCTCTAAGTGGTGAGATTACAGGCATTTTCCCCCTTTGTTTTTAAAATAGTTTCCAAACTTTTGTAAGTAAATTATTTGTATAATTTAAAAAAAGAAACAGATGTGTCTAGTTAAACCTCAGTGCAGAATCCAAGGCAAGCCACTCTGAGACCTGTCTCAGCCCCCTTCACATCCTGTCTGAGGGGACAGTTCCACCACAGAGGGCGAAGTGGGGCCTCTGCCAGTCTCTCCGGGGCCCACGCCTTTCACACACCCCACGGGATCCAGAACACTCACCGTCTTCCCTGAGGGGGCATCCCACTCGCCCCTGCGCACCACGCCAAAGGAGCCATCTCCGAGCTTCTCAAAGAGATGTAGGTCCTTTTCCCCAATGAGGCAGGTGAGACTCTGCAGGGGCCCTTCCCCTGCTGGGCCACCAGGGGTGGGCGAGGTCTTCCGGAAGGTGCTCTGAGAGTGATGGGGGGGGAACTCAACCTCCAGCCGCTTTCCACTGAACACCTGTTTGAAGGCAGCCAGGAGCCAGATGGAACCCTGAGGCCCAGAGGCGATGACTCCGTCCGGTCCCAACTGGTCCAGCTGGTCCTCACGTAGGCCTCCAGGTAAGTCCTGGCTTTGCCAAACTTCCAAGGGTCAGCCTGCCTGGAGGCCTGTGCCCCCTCCTGACACCCCCCAACAGGAACCCAGAGCCTCGGCGCAGCTTTGGCATGTGTGCCAGGAATGGGCTGACAGCACGTGGCCTGTGGCTACTGTGGCCCCACACCTGGTGGGGGCCGGGGGGCGGGAGCACGGGTCTGGGATAGACCAAAGCCATTCAAGGCACTACCTTCTGCCCCACTTATCCCTTCCTGCGCAGCCCCCCTTACCGGACCGGACTGCAGCCCTAACCAGAACAGATGGGTAGGAGCCTAAGGGGCCTGCCACAAACACCTCTCTGTCCATTTTTAGCCTTGGCCCCTTCTCTGGGCTGCCCATTTGGCGCTGTCTGTCTCCACCCTCCCCAGGGAGCCCGCTACCCTTCATCCTGCCAGGGGAGAGGATAATTTGAGCCTGAGGTTAGACTGTGAGTGTGTGGGGTGCAGATGAAGCAAGGCTTGCTGGTGAAGGGCCTGGGAAGACAGCTGGGCTTCTGGAGGGGCGCCTAGAGCTGAGGGCTGAGAAAGAAAGGAGACTGGAAAAGAACTCTGCTGCACCCTGGGCTGGGGAGGGAAGGGGACAAAGACCAGGGGGCCGGAGGAAGGAAGCCCTGAACGTCAGCTGGCCTGCCAATTTGACTTGGCCACCCGTACGAGGGCATCCAAAGCCTTGGCTTCACACTGCAGAGCCTGCCCAGCTGGGCCCCTGCCCCCAAGGCTGGCAGGGCCTTATCTGTACAGAGAGTCTCCAATCTGAGGGCCTCTTCTGGCGGCTGCTCTGTCCTTCCTCCCAGTAACTGGAATCCCTTACGTTTGCAAACAATGTTCAGCTGACAAGGTTCCTCCACACGGCCCGGTGAAGTGAGGTGAGCTGGACTAGTGTTGCCAGTGCTGTCTTACTAAAGACATGCCTCGAGCCTGGAGAGGCTCACTGACAGGCCCAGGAACCTCCTGCGAACCCTCAGTGGATCCAAGACCCCTGAAACCTGGCACACTGCACAGCTCTTCCCTCCTGCTCTCACTTGCCCCAACGCACTCATCCTTCCCTAAAACCTGGGCAAGGAACCAGGACAGCGTCCCAGAAAAGGACACAGGATCCCAAGAGACAGCCCCTTTGCCAGATGGCAGTCAAGAAATCTCTGCTGCCCAACCCCAGGCCAGTTGTTCTGCCCTGCCCGCCCCCTACCCCAGCCCCGAGGCCAGAAGTGGGGAGGGAAGACCCTGGCTAGTTCATTTCCTCCCAAATTGTCTTCCAGACAATGGGCAAAGTTCCACTGAGTTAGACCAGGGACACACCACTCCAAAGACCCAAATTAAGACAAAGTGGGGGGTGGGGGAGGCAGGGGGACAAGGGGACGGGGGGAGGCTGTAGGGAAGGAAAGTGTCAGCAAGGCCAGACGGCAAGAGACACCCTCCAAAGATCAAGGAGGGTCTGGGAGAAGAGAAGCAAAGCCAGGATGTCCTGGGTCCAGCCAGTCCCACCCCTTGCTGGATACCGGCCTCAACACTCAGACAGAACAAGGGCTCAAGTTACAGTGTGCCTGTCAGCCAGGCCCTGTACCACACGCAGCACCACTGCATGGTGAGAGAGAAGTGAAGCCACGGTTGTACACAGGCTACTCACATGCTGTCTCTAGCAGGGACAGACACTCAGCCAGGAAGCTCTACAAGTACCCTGACCGATAAGACCCTAGAGAAAGGAGATCTGCACAAAGTGCGAGATTGTACTGCCCAGGAATGCGGGAAGTTTCCCGGGACTGACATCAGATTGGGACCCCATGAGGTGGCCCCAGCCATCTCACTCCTTGTCCACCCACCTTGCTCATCCAGGACTTCCGCTTGCACATGGCCTTTCTCCTCTTCACAGCCTCCCACAGCCGCCGCTGGCCTGCAGGAAGGACACGGAACCCAAGGGTGTTGAGCATCATGCCCCCAGGAGAGGCTGCTGCCACCCGCAGGCTTCCTCGGTCTCCTGGGGCGGGTCTGCCGCTAGATACGGCCCAGCACGAGGACGCCAGAGAAGCAAACCAGCCCCCCCGACCCGGAGCTGTGATGCATCAGAGGGTCACTGCACTCCACGTCCAGGCTCTCCAACTGGAAGGAGGTACGTGACCACCAAAACTGAACAGCAGTTCTCTGTTCCCAACTCTCAGGAAGAAAGTAAATTAAGGTAATAGATAGAATTTTCCTAATTTTGAGGGGTTTTCCCCCCAAATTTTATTATGTTACTGGCATCACCACTACCCAGGCCAAAAGTAGGATTAAGTCCATGTCTAATTTAGCACATTATTATTTAGCTGCTTTAAGTTGAATGCATGAATAAGTTTCTATGTTCTGTACGAAAAACCATGAGTTCTAGGTGCTGCAGCCACTACTTTTCAGGATCAATACATAGAAAAGAAATGAGTTCAACTCAGAGCAGATCTTTGTGAGAGAGAAAGAGAAAGAGAAAGAGACAGATTAACAGAAAGTCAGCAAACCACCTGAGGGTTTTCAGCTTCCCTTCTTCATACAGATCCACAGACAAGGAACCCTTAGTGAGCAGACCAGACCCGACTCTACATGTACAGGAGCAAACACATCCTACAAATGTCCGAATAAACAAAAGGGGTGGTAGCTGGTCCTGAGTAGCCAGAGCTTTTTAAGAAAGACTCCTCAGAGTCCAATTCACCTTTATAAGTGCAAACTGTTCTCATGCACTCACTGTGTGCGGCATCTACTGAGGCCCCTCCACCCCACCTCAGGGGCTCTTGGACAGGCAGTGAGAGTTCTCAGCTATGCCACCCCAGGAATGAGGGGGGGAGGGCTCTTCCATGTGGTTGGAGACCCTGAGGACAGAGGAGGTAAACGGTCAGTGGGGAAACAACGAGCAAGGCCAACATCCCCACCTACCGGGCCGGCCCATGCCAATCTTCTCCAGGTCTTCATTCTTGACATACTCAAAGTGGGACAGGCGGGTAACATTGAGGTCGTCGCGGAGCCGTAGGAAGTACTGCTGCAGCTGCACCTCGGACAGTAGCTCCAGCAGCCAGCCTGTGCCCTCCTCCGGCTGCATACTGCTGCTCCCCAGCCGCTGCGGGGAGGGAAGAATGAATCAGGGACCAAGGGATGCGGGGAGGTAATGGGGACCCTGCCCAAGTGCCCTGGGTGCACCCGCACATTACTATGCTACTTCCGGGAAGGATTCGAATCACCGCTTGCTCTTCAACACAGCTGTACAGAGTAGCCTGTACCTACCTGCCCCCTTTCCTGCCAGCAACAAAGGTAGAATTAGGACAGTCGGGATACAGCCCAGGTGCTGGAGTCAGGGTCTCATTCCCAAAATCCACAACCCAGTGACCTGAGACCAGCCTCTAGTGTTCTCAGGTTTCCCATTGGCTCAGACTCTATTGGGGTCATAAGTCCTTTCAGAATCTGATGAAAACTATTGATTTGTGTCTCCAGGAGAAAGACACATTCTTAACCATAAAGTTTCAATAAAAAATATCGGGGGACACGGTGTCCTCTGAGACCCACCCACGGGCCCCTGAGACCTGACGGACCCCACAGAAAGCCCTCGGGCCTGGATGAGTCCTCCGAACGCCTGGTGCAGCCAGAGCCTTTCCCCTCGTCCAGGGCTCTCTCCCGAGTGCCTCCAGGTCCACAGTGAGCGGAAGAGGGAAGGGCAGAGACTGGGGTGGCTTTCAGACCCAGCTCCAAGAGGCAGCACTGTTCGGCTCCTGTTGATGGTTATCACAACAGACTGTGGCCCAGTGTCACCAAAGCTTTCAATTTTTTCAAGAAATACTGGCAATCTGAATCTATCTTGCCATTAAAGTTTTTTGAAAAAGTATGTACACGGTAAAATATTTAAAAGGCACCCAGGAGCCACAAAGTCTCCCTCTCTCCCCTATTTCACAGCCACCTCGCTCCCTGTCCCCAAAGCCAGGTGCCACGAATGACTTACGTACCCTCCCAGGCTTTGTGTTTCCCCACGAAAAACATTCATTCATTACACGTACCATTCTGATCCTCGTTTTCATTTCACATTACCCTTGTCCTTGCTTTTTAACCATGTTAACTGAGATTTGAAATACACACACCTCCCAACATTCAGTGTTGGCCAAAAGACACATGTAGGTACAGGCCACAGCCAGCCAAAGGGCCGCCAGGGAGTGACCTCTGACTTACACTTTCTTGGGCCCAGAGAAAGAGGCCGGTGGCACCCTCAAAGCTAAGCAACCTGACCCACCGGACCCCAAACCCATCCCTGTCTACGTAAGACACCTCAGAGCTGAGGGCTCAGCCAGGCCAGCTCTGCCCCATGTCCACGCCCCATGTTCACGCCCCATGGACAAAACAGGCGGGAGGCAGAAGGACAGCTGCCTGAGACCCCTCCTCCCCAACTCAGAGGTGGCCTTGTCCCCCAGCTCTCATCACAGGTCACACCGAGAGGCAGGCGTTCACAGCCGGGGCCCAGCGTGAGTCTCCTGTCCCCATAGTTCCCAGAGGTTCTGCCAGCCAAGTGCCAGGAGTTCAGACTTTCCCAGGCAGCTCAGGGCACTACAAAGAGCAACAAATGGGAATGAGAGGACCTCAGTTCAAACCCTGGCACACCCACCGAGGCGGCCGGGCCACAGGGGGTTTCCAAACTTCAAGCTGCAACCCTTCACCCAGATGGTTCTCACAAAGGCTGCACAGCTCCCTAGGCGACGTTGTTGGTTGTCACAACGTTGGGGGCCCACTAGCGAGAACGTGAGTTACCCTGTAACGTGCAGGACAGTTCCACACAGTCTCCCAAATCCCATACAACTTAGTTCAGGGAAGTGAAAAATTTGTGTATAATCATCTGAATCTAGAACTGAATTCCAATTTACATTGCTTTTAATCCTCACCCGAAGATATGCTTATTGGCTTTAGAGAAAGCGTAGGGGGGAGAAACGCCAATGTGAGAAGCATCGATCACTGCCTCCCGTACGTGCCCCGACCAGGGACTGAACCCGCGACCTCGGTGTGCGCCCCGACGAGGAGTCCCACGCGCAGCCTCCTGGTGCACAGGAGGACGTTCCATCCGACGGGGCCACCCGGCCAGAGCCCATTTCACATGTGAACAAGGAAGTATTTCTGCAGCTTCAATACACACTGAACTTTCTTGGAATGGAACTACTGTGTAAATGGAGAGAAAACTGGCTTTTATTTTGCTCAGAATTTAGCAAAAGTTGTTCACCATTCAAAAGAATGTCACTGAAGGCACCCCATCCTTATCATGTCACCCCCCCCAGCACTCACAGACACTGCCTTCGTGGTGCTTCTGCTGCAGGTTTTACTGTCCACCTCCCTGTGTCAGAGCGCGCCAACGTTAGAATACCTGAAGGGCTATCATTCCTTCCATTCCTCTCTTATATTACAGGTGGCACTACGTTTGTCAGCTGACATAACACCCACGTGTACGTGGTAATCGGCTTATGCTTCTATTAATTTTAAGAAGACTAACAATAAAAAATAACTCTGACACTTCGACTGCACTAACTATGCACTGGGTGCAGTGCTAAGCATTTCGCTGTCCTCACTCACTGATCCTCCACGAAACCATCTGTTACAAACAAGGGGGGCAGTGGGCTTAAGAGGGCGGGACACCACTGCTTTCCAGAAGAAAACCCCAGAGGTGCACTGTGAAAGTCACTGACCTCAGCCCAGTCTTTTCAGAGCTTGGCCCAGGGTGACAGGCCCAGCTTTTCCACCGTTACTGCCCTGTTCCTGGAGCACAGTGACCCCACCCTCGACAAGGCTCAGCCCCCAGATGGGGCCTGCCACCAGGGCAGGCGGTCTGAAGGTCCTCTGCTCTCCTTCCCCAGTCCCTAAACTCCAGGACTCCAGGCTCCCCAATCCTACCCTCCTCTGAGGCAGACGGCAGGAGGCAGCCAGTCCTGAGAATAGCTCAAAGCCATGTGCTGGTGGTCAGGGCTAGGGAAGACCCCAACGCCCCTCCTCCGAAAAGCACAGTCTATCTAACCTGTTCCTTTTCCCTGAAACACCAGCTAACAAATCTCCCGGGCTCAGCTGGACACTCTACTCCCGGCTCCCCAACCCCAGAAATAGGGCAGCTCGGCAGAGGCATGTGTGGGAAGGCTGAGGAGGACGCCGGGATCCCAGTGAGAAGAAAGCAGCCAGAGTCCCACTCATGCCTCTACCACCAAGCCCCGGGTGACCCTGGATAAGTCCCCTCCCCACCCCTAACCACCACCTGCAGCCCAGATCTCTCCGTGAAGCACAGAGCACCGCTGCAGCTGCCCCCGCTCAGTCACTAGTTCTGCCGGGGCCCCAGCAGAGCCCACAGCCCACACACCTGCGTTGGACACGTGTATCTCCCGTGGGTGCACACACACTTCCAAAATACACTTTTCTAACACCCGCCAACAAGAATGCAGCAGCCGGAGGGGAGAGGCCACTCAGGCCCACAGTGGAACCCTCACTGGAGGTGTCCCCCAGCCACTCCCAGTCCTGCTCCCTGGCCCTCAGTGAAGTGCTGGCTCTGAGGAGCTGATCCGGTTTGCAGCCAGTCGCCCAGCTCGCCCCGGCCCCGGCCCCGCCACCCCTCACTCACTGTATATAGTCTTCGCCGCAGCCTGGCCAGAAGAGGAAAGGAGAGCTCTAGGCCAGGGAACCGACGAGCTGCCGGCATCTTCACGGAGCCGGGCCCCCGACTGGGTCACTGGGACTCTGGCTTGAGAAGTGGGGGAGCCGGGGCCTCAGCTCCTGAGTTTCAGGTTCTGCCCAGAAGGGAAGTTGGCCAGAGGTCTGCCCCAGGGGTCCCCCAGATCTCACACCAGGGGTGGAATGGGGCAGAGCGATAGGGTGGCTCCCTTCTCCCTGCTGCACAGCTGTTTCTACAGCTGGCTCCTCTGGCAGAGAGCAGGGCTGCCCTTCTGACTGGCTGCAGCCTGGGTCCTCTGTCCTGCTTCTCTGCCTTCTCTCCAGTGCAGTGGTCACAGCTCCAGTCCTACTCCCGGGCTCCCCCACCCGACTGCCCTCCCTCCCTCACTCCTCCCTCTCTCCCCAGCTGAGCAGCTCTGACACTGGCTGAAAAAGGACCTTTCTGAATCACTGCCAAGAGGGCGGCGGGAATAGGGGGACTCTTCCTCTCAGCCACCCGCACTAGCCCCCCTGCCTCCCCATACACAAGGCCCCCTGTCTCTGGCTTCCACCCCAGCCCCCATAGTCGTAGACAACTCCTGGGATTTTAGGGTGGGGGCTATGTGAATCAAGCAGCAAAGTACAAAGAATGGTTACAGGCCCCCATATAGGCTTATCTGGCACTTAGGAGCTGGTGCGCAGTCTGAGTTAGAAGCTGGGACCCCAGAGTCATTCCTAGACTCTACGAGAGACCCTTCAGAGACCCTCCCCCATCTCCCAGTCCCAGCGTTGGCTGGGCGTCTCCTGGCTCGGGCCCTAACGTGGCCCTGTTACCCTGGTGCCCGACGGAAATAGGAGGCCGGCAGCCTGCCAGAGTGGGGCAGTCCAGCCAAGACTGAGAGGGGGTGGAGGGGGTGAGGAATCTCCACCCTCTTCCCGGGGGTTGCCTTGTCTGCTGCCCACAACACCCAGGGCGCCTCCTCCCAGACCAGTGGCCAAGATCCAAAGCCCCTCAAAACAAACAGATATGCCCCCTAGACCCTGCTGGGACTGCCGCCACCCCAAAACTGTAAGATTCCCAGCTATAGGATGTCTCTTGTGGAGCACCCCCCACACACAAACAACAGTCCAGCTACAGGGAACTGGAGACACTCCATCAAGCCCCTGTGGGCCCCCCACGTTCCTAAAGCAGACAAATGATCCATCTGCCCCCCCTCGAATGCGCCAGCTGCTCGTGCACCCCCCTCCCCATGGCCCCCAGACACACCTGACAGCTGCAGGAAGTCCTCCTGTGCTCCCCCAGCACCCCCGCCCCACCGCCCAGCCGTGCCCAGGGAGCCCTTGTTTCTTGCACACTGCTCCCCTGTCTGCACCCAGCTGCTGACCAGTGCCGGGAGCCCCAGCTGGCTAGTGAGGCAGGCAGCTGGGGGTGAGGATTTGGGGGATTCAGCATCCCAGGCTCTCTTTCCAGGGCCTCTCTCAGTCTCTGACCTCCTGGCAAGGAGGTACCCAAAGGGACAGCCATTTCCTGGTCTGAGTCACAAAAGGGGCAGGTGGGGACATACCCTAGCAATCAGTCCCTCTTTCCCACACCCATCATCTACTACCTAAAGCTTGTAGAACCAGCCAGGTACGGCCTCTTCCCTGTCCAAGTGAACTGCCAGTCTGAGGCTGGAGTCACAGATAATGGACAAGGTCAACCAAGGCCAAGGGCACACTGGAGCTGACTTTTCCCCAAACCCCAGCAGAAAATGTCCACAGCTCAGACAGAGAAGCCTACTGCCTAGCTCCCACCAGGTACCACCCTGAAGGAGACCCAGGGACCTCATCTCAGAGGACAATTTAAGCAGGACTACTCTCTCCACTGCAACAGGGGGCTGCTGGGTCAGAATGGCCAGATTAAAAATTCTAGTCACCCCCTGAAAGATGAGCCCCAGATCCATCAGAGCACCATGCCCAATTCTCCCTTGGACATCAGGTAAGAACAAGCCTCAGCAGCTTTTGCAGCAATCCAACTATGAGAGGCTGTAAAGAAAAGCAGATCATGGTAAGGGGTCAAAGCTCAGGCCAGCTCTTGGACCCCTTTCTCCCAGCCCTGGAAAACAGCTCCCCACCTTTCCGTCCACCTTTGTCCTATCAGCTACTGCCCTCTGCCGGCTGAGAGAGAAAGTGCTTGATCTCCAAGAGGAAGGGGAGTGGTCCCATAAATATGGTGATCTTATTTTCCAAAGCAAACGGGGAAGTGGTCCCATGTATCTGGTGAGCCTATTTTCTAGAGCAAACAGGGACATCTGGCTTGAAATGGAAGGCCAGAAAGCAGGAATGTCCAGGGCACAGGAACTCAGTGCCCATAAAAGACTTAGTGCTTCCAGGGCTCTTAGGGGCCACTGAAGAAAGACCAAGGCGCAGCTTAATTAGGACCCAGGGGGCTCAGAGACACTGAGGCAAATGTCAGCACCAAGGCAAATGTCAGCACCAATAATTCACCGCCACAGATTCACCCCACCCCCCTTAACTCTTCACAGGAACATTCAATCTTCTTAACCCAGCCTCCCATCTCCCAGGATCTGTCCTAGGGTCCAGGAGCATTAGATACCCTTCATTTTTGGGAAGCTGCTGCTGAGAGCAGTGGGGGGCGCTCAGCCGATCAGCAGATGATGGAGGCTAGGGACCCGGTACCTGGCTATCCCTTCCTCCATTACCTGCTGTCCCTTTTCGCCCCCTGTCAAGCGCTGATATGCAGATCTCCCCCCCATGGAACCCATTAAGGCCGGGAAGAGGAGCAGAGACCTCTAGCAGCCCCCGCCCCTCCAGCGCACGGGCAGCGTCACGGCTCTACGTCCCGAGGGGCCGGGCCTCAAGCATCCTGAGTCTAGTTGGCGGGGCTGCTAAAGCGCCTCCACCGGGAGTGCTGGTCCTTGCTCCAACCCCCGCACACACCCCACAGCCTTCTACTGCCTTCTCCCCACCACCGGCTGGCAAGAGCCCCGGTGGTCCCTGTCTCTCCTGCTGGGACCGCGGCATGCCCCTCCCCCAATCCTGGCCCTCGCAGTGCCACAGGCTGACCCCCAAAGACAGCCAGATGCCAAGTCCCACCTTCACTGACAACGGAGTCACAGCACCCCTCAGCTGTCTCCAGCCCCTCAGGGCCCCACAGCCACCAATTTGGTTCTGGGGATTCAAGGGTCCCCATATTCCATGATAAGGAAGTTCACAGAAGAGAAACACCTCCTGTCCTGACACAACCTGAGACTCTCCCCTCTAGAGAGCAGGGCCTGAAGCCTATCCCTTCCCAGCTTCCACTGAGCTCCAAGAAATGAACCCACCTCCCCAGCTCCTTGCTGCTCCATTCAGCTCAACCCACTAGAACGACTTGCTCTGAGCTGCGCACCCGCCCAGCCCACTCCTCACAGTGGTGGGAGCCACACCTCCAACACCCGTCCCAGCCCCCAGCCCCCATCCCTGTGCCTCTTCTCAGCCGGCCTGGATGTTTCCCTGCCTACGCCACCTCCAAGATAACACACGCTGGGCACGCAGGAGGGCAGGGAAGAGTACTAGGGCTGAGTACCCCTCCAGGCCTCAGAAGAGTGCCTCTGCTCACAATCCCTGCTGGAGCAGCTTATCCAACACCTGTCCATGCAGAACTCTCACCCAGCACTCAGGTGGGGCCATTGGCAGCAGAGGAAGTCCTACTGCAGAGGCTCTCTTCTTATTCCAGCCTCCAGGGTCCCAAGGTGCACCGCACACCCTCTCATTTTGCTGGCATCTGAAGCATCACGGACTCCATAGTACCAGGTATTTAGGGCTGAGCTCAGGCCACCTTTCCTGCTTCCGGGGTTGGAGCAGAGGAGGAGAAAGAGGCTGAGACACCCCACCCCCCTCAACATACACACTTCACCTCAAGACTGAGGAGAGACTACAGGAGAGCACTCAATAAGGCTCAAGCTCCTTCCCCACCCTGAAACATGCTGGGATAAGGAATGGCCCTGCCAGGCCAAGGGATTTATTCTAGGCAGAAGCTCCTTTGCATCTTACTGCAGCTATGGCAGCAACTAGTTTTGAGAGCAGCTGCAAGAACCCACAGTCAGATACTGGAGAAAGAGAGGCTGAAAGTGCCAGTCCCATTTTTTCTTCTCCTAGTTGGGTGAAGGGTCTGACCCAAACCATTCCTCCCTCCTGCTTTCTCCCTACCTCCTCCCCCATGAGCCTCCGGGCATCTTACTGTTAGGTATCCACGGGACCCAATCTGCCTCTCGGATGTGGGGAATCCAGCCCATGTGCACACTTCTCTGGTCTGTAACTTGCTCCCTTATCTCAAAAGGGAGCCTGGAGTAGCCAGGCATCCCCTCCCCCAGCCCCTCCAACAGCATCAGTGAAGTGACAAATCCACGCTGAGGAGCAGACATGACATGTAATTTCCGGCCAAACGGATTTTTCCAAAACAATCTACCGTATTCTCGGGAATAGATGCCAACCCCACCTCTGAGCCAGCCCTCTCCCACCTCTGCCCTCCCTCTTCTCCAGGACCTGGAGGTTGGGGGGAGCATGGGGGCTTATAGCTTTTCTCCCAGCCATAGGATTATCTTGCTTCCACACGTGAGTTCCACCCACCCCAGCCAGCCTCAACTCACCCTTTGTGAGCAGGACTCAAGCTTCTGGACCAAGGCCAAACTGGTTCCCCTCAAGACCTCATCCCATGAGAACTGCAGGCAACCCCACACCTTCAGGTCAGTCCAGGTCTGACATCACACTGGTCTGGGGAGGAGGCTGGCCAGGAGCCAAAGGAGAGAAGGGGATGATTCAGACACATACCGCGGCTGTTCATACCTTCTCCATCTCCGGGACACGGGGGCCCACTCCCTCCCAAGGGAGCTCGGCATCGGAGGTCCTGAGGAAAGGCAAGGCTGAGGCATACTTGCCCACAGTGTTGCGCCCACAAGCCCTGGGTACAGCCCCAACACCTCTCCACCCTTCTCTTCAACTGCTGGTGTTTCCTAAGACTTCTGAACTCTCCCTTCCTTTCTCAGTGGATGCTCTGCTCCCTGGAGGTCATCCCCTCTCCTACGACTCCACTTATCACCCTGCGCTGTCTGTCTGTCTCTATTCCTGAGTTCCTGAAGCTCTAGACCCCCCCTTTATACACATTTTCAAGACAGACCCTCCCCCCAGGAGGATGCATAGGTACCACAAATTCTGCATGTCCAAACTGAGCTCATCATCATCCACCACAAGCTAGCTAATGTGTGCTCCTGTATCCTGGCTGAAAACACAGGCAAACACCAGTCATGCGGGCTAGAAACCTCACCCTGGCCCCTCCAACCATCATACCTCCCCCACTGGGCAGGCCACAAAGTCTTGTTGTTTCTGCCTCCCCATTATTCCTCCTTTTAATGCCACTGCAATCAAAAGTCAGACAGACCTGGGCTGAAATTCTGGCTGTCATTTTCCAGTTGGGCAACTTTTGGGCAAATCACTTAATCTCTAAGCCTCAATTTCCTCTTCTGTAAAATGAGGATAAACAGTACCTCCTTCATATAGAGTGTAGATTCAATAAGATAATGAATAGCAAGCACCTGGCACATAGTTGCCTACTGTTATTTTTGCCATTTGAACACAGTCCCTTTCCTGCCCATAGTCTTCTATAACTCCTCACTGAGCCAAATACAAGACCCTTCAGGATCCACTCCTTGCCTATTTGTCTAATTCCATCTCTTACCATTTCCTTCAAACGTCTCCATGCTTTCAAATCCAGTAAAGCATGCACCTTCTTGGGAAGAGGGGCTGCCAATCTCATCACAACTACTCCTGTCCCAGACCCACTAGGCTACTACTCTGCTCCCACGGAGCTGCTTCAGCCCCAGGGACAACATGGCCCATCACAAAGGCAGGAGAGTCTTGAATATGCCTTCCTCTCTCACAGGAAACAGAAAGCGTGGAGGAAGAGGGGGAGGGAGGGGCGGGGAGAGGTGGGGAGGGGGACAGAGGAGTGAAAGGGAGGAAAGGCAGGGCAGAGGAACAGGGGCAGACACATCGGATAGATGGACACTCCTATACATCACCTCCCTACACAACAACAAAAAAGGTGTAACTTTCAGAGATGAAAGGATCTGACTAAACACCGGTGACGCAGTCCAACGCTGAATTCAACACCTCCCCACATGTACTAACTTGGTCTTGAAAGTATTTTGTAATTATTTCATGCTCCGCCAGCTCAAGACTGGCATGCCAACCCTGACACTCAGAGACAGGACACAGAGAGCCCTAATGGGTTCCTGGAGCACACGCCTCCCCCGCACACAAGGGCCACTCGAGTGGATAAATTCCTGCGGCTGTCTGGGTCTCGCGCATATGCACACCACACGTGCTGGACTGCTGCCTCCCGCCAATCCTCTGGCCCAGGCATCATCACAGCACCAAGGCCCGGCAGTGACTCCCAGGAATGGAGGAAGGATAAAGTCCCAGATGCCAGCCACTCCCAGAGCTCTTCCAGGGCTGGGCAGAGGACACCCAGCTAGTAGTCACCCTGCCTGCTGGCTCAGGCCTTGCCCCACCCCCACCCCTTGGAGAGAGCACAGAGCTGAAGCAGCCTATTGTTGGGCCCTGGAGGTGGGGTGGGGAAAGCCAGAGCTGTGTATTGTAAATCATTTACTCCGCAAGAGGGACCGCTCATCCCCTGAGGGACCAGATCCACACTAGGACCCTGGGAGCTAAGAACGTCCAGTGCAGGGCAGGTTGTGGGGCCCAGGGGAGGAAGGGTCTGAATCTGGAAGTGAGAGAAATGTCAGGGATTTCCACGTATTTAATTAAGATGCCTTAAATCCCACTATATCTTCTTGCCTACCAATTTTAGCGATGGAGAAACTAAAATCCTAAATTGGAAGGAACTTGTCTGGTCCAAGACACTTAAGAATGTGTCACAGGGAATAGATCTCCAGGAGTTGGGAGAAGTCCACAGTTCAGAGTGATGATAATTCTCTTCTGGCCATGGAGGGGCCGCCCTGCAAGGTCAGGGACTGGTAACGGTTGCGGGCCCAGAGAGGAGGCCCTGACTCATTACAAGACACAGCACACACAACACCTGCAGAGACAAGAGCCCAGTGTTCTCACACCCAGCTGACATCCTTGGCTTCAGGGCTTCCAGGAGCTATACAGCTGCTGAAGGGAGAGACCAGCAAACTTCTCTTCCCATACCTCTCCTCAGTCACTTACCATGCACCTATTATGCTTTTACCCTGGTGCAAACAGTGTTTGGGGGAAGGAGAAGTCACAGTCTGGGTTCTGAAGAAAACTGTGTAGTAGTTTCTTTACTAAAAGCTTTATTTTCATTGACCAATTTAAGCCCTGTCCCCTTACTACCCTAATCTTATCCCCATTTTACAGATAAGAAAACTGAGACTCTGGAGAGGTGACCAGGGTCACCAAGAAAGCGAGAGACGAAGCTGGGATTCAGTCCGTACACAACAGTGTGCCACGCTGCTTGGCCCAAGGATGCCTGCCCACGGAGGGCAGAGCTGGAATCTTATTCAGTGAATATGTACTGGATACCGAATAAATTCATGGATTTTTTTAGTATGTTTAAAGAGGGGATGGAAGTTCCAAGAGAAGAGTGTAGATTGTAGCATGCACGCACATAATTTTGCTCCTTCCCAAAACTCCACCAAAGCTACAATTTAAAAAAGAGAAATTTTTGAATGGGAAGTCCTCAAGGATGAGAAGAACAGTAGAGACAATCACAGCAAAACTTTGGAAGTTGGAAAGCAGGTGGGCTAGCGACAACTAAGAGGCAGTGCTCTACCAGCGCTAGAGGGTAAACCAACAAAGACACAAGACGCAGTGAACGGGAGACCCAACACAGGGGGCTGCCATGGAAACGCCAGGGTCCTGGGAAGGAGCCCAAGAGGAGAGCTGAGCATCACGAGAGGAAGCAGCCAGTCCTACGCTGCTTCGGGACACAAGGTTCTGAAACTTCTTCGGGAAGATGAATTTGATAGAATATCTAATAGAAAATTACATCTTCAGAAATCTAGACAGTTACTGGAAAGTTTGACCGAAGTAAACTTGGACAGATAGAAGACAACATGAGATATATGTAGAGCGGATAGACTGAGTGATGGGAAGCACTAAAGGGTAGAGAGGTGGGAATGAGGGAATTACTGTATTTTGCCATGTATAGTGCATACTTCTGGCCCAAATTTTTAGGGAAAAATAAGAATGCACCTTATACATGGGAATTAGTATTAAAATATGGCTGTGCATTATTATACAGGAGCACATTATACCTGGCAAAATACAGTGCGTCAAATCTTCATCTATGACCAAGAAGGAATAACAGAGATCAGATTTAAACTCTGTACTGAAATAACAACAAGAAAAGGACAAAATATACAAAATGGTTTAAAGATACCAGACATCGGTAAAACAAAAGACAGTGATTCGTAGGAGACAAGATACAAAGGAGCTCAGCCCTGCAACTGGGTTTCCAAGCTACAGCATAGGGAAGAGAACTGGCTGGACCTCAAAGAACTCCCTGAAGTGGGGAGATGGACCTGCGAGTCTGGGGAGACTCAGGTGACCAAAGTTCACAGAGTGGATCATCAGAAAGAGAGAGCGCCATAAAGGTTTGTAAGGGCCCCCCTCAAACATTCAGCTGAGAACTGACCATCACATGAATGTGCAGAAATGACCCGTGGCCAGGAGAAAAAACACCAAAAAGAATTAGAAGTAACAGTGCCTCAGGCTCACAGGCTGGGAAAAGTGACTGTTCTAAGTGCCAGGCTGGAACAGCTAGGCATTAGGTAGAATACACAAACGAGTCTTGCCTCAGCAGTGGGGAATTATTAGCCCTACACTGAGCATACCTGTGATCCCATCTAACATATCTTACGAACAAGACCCAAGGGGCTCATACTGTTGCCACATTACTTAACTACATCCTTGAGTAAAGTTCAGGAATATTTATAGAAATTTAAAAAAAATACACAGCAACCAACAAGAAAAAATCCACATTGTCTGGCATCCAATAAAAAGGCGTGCAAAAAAGCAAGACACTATAATCCATAATGAGGAGTAAAAGCAATCAATTAAAACCAACTCAGAATGCACACATTAGAATTAGTAGACAAAAACATTAAAATACCATTTAAAAGACTATAATTAAGCTTCTAGAATAAAAACTACAGTGTATGAGATGAAAAAATAAACTGAATGGAATTTAAGGCAGATTAGACACAGCCGAATAAAAACTGGGTGAACCTGAAGACACAGTAACAGAAATTCCAAAATGAAACAGGAAAAAGAGATTCTTTTTAAAATGAACAAAATATCAGTGAGCAGTGGGACAATTTCAAGTGACTTAACACATATAATTAGAGAGAAAAAGAGAACTGGAAACAAAAAAAATATCTGAAGAACTTACAGCTGAAATTTTCCAAATTTGATGAAAACCATTAGTTTACAGATTCAAGATGCTCACTAAACTCCAGGTAGAAGTTGGAGAGGATTGTGCTAAGTGAAATAAGCCAGGCAGTGAGGGACAAATACCATATGATCTCCCTCTTAAGTGGAACATAACCAACGAAAGAAAGAAGAAAGCAAAATCTAACCAGAGACACTGAAATTAAGAACAATCTGACAGTAACGGGGGGAGGGGGTAGATTAATTGGGGGAAGGGTTTTCAGGAACTATTGTAAAGGACACAGACAAAACCAAGGGGGAGGGGGGAAGCAAGGGAGGGAGGGAGGTTTGGCTGAAGTGAAAGAGAGTGGTGG